TTTCTATATGCTGTCAATAGCAAACCGTCTAAAAACAAAATTAAGAAAGCAATCCCATTTACAGTAGCTACAAAAAATACTTAGAAATAACCTTAAAGTGAAAGATCTCAACAATGAAACTATAAAATATTTGTTAAAGAAATTAAAAAGGACAGGTAAATGGAACAACATCCCATGTTCATGATTGCAAACATCAATATTGTTAAAATGTCCATACTACCTAAAGAAATCTGCAGAGTCAATGTCTATCAAAATATCATTCTGTATTCTCTAAAGAAATAGAAACAAAAATTCTATTTCTATGAAACCACACAAGAATCAGAACAGCCAAGGCAACCCTGAGCAAAAAGAACAAAACTGGAGGTATCATATTACCTGACTTCAAAATATACTACAAAGCTATAAACAAAACAGCATGGCACTGGCTTAAAAATGGACACACAGAGCAATGGAACAGAATACAGATCCCAGAAATAATGCATTCAATAATACAGTCAACTGTAATAATGCATTTACAGTCAACTCATTTTCAACAAAGATGCCAAGAATGTACATTGGGAAAAGAATAGTCTCTTCAATAAATGGTGCTAGGAAAAATAAATGTCCATATGAATGTCTGAATGAAACTAGAGCCCCATCTCTCACCCTATATAAAAATCTACTCAAAATTGATTAAACATGTAAATGGAAGACCTGAAACCATGAAACATCTAGAAAAAAACACTTCAAAACATTGGTCTAGCTAAAACATTCTTGCATAAGACCTTAAATGCATAGGTAATCGGAGCAAAAGTTGACAAATGGGATTATATCAAGCTAAAAAGCTTCTGCATAGCAAAGGAAAAAATTAACAAAGCTAAGAGACAATCTACAGAATAGGAGAATGTATTTTCAAACTATTCATCCAATAAGAAATCTACAAGGAACTCAAATAACTCAATGGACTAAAAAAAAAATCAAATAATCAGATTACAAAATGGACAAAGGATCTGGACAGACATTTCTCCAAAGAAGACATACGAATGGCAAACAGGTAAATGAAAAAATTATCAACATCACTAATCATTAGGAAAATGCAAATCAAAACTACAATGAGATATCATTTCCCCTAGTTAAAATGGCTATTATCAAAAAGATAATAACAAATGCTGACAAAGGCATGAAGAAATGGGAATGCTCTATATACTCTTTGTAGGCATGTAAATTAGCACAGCCACTATGCAAAACAGTGTGGAGGTTCCTCAAAATACTAAAACTAGAATGACCATATGATCCAGCAATCTCACTGCTGGGTATATGTCCAACATTTGTATTATCTTGAGGTTCATATCTGTGTCTTCTGATTAGAACTGGTTAAATTCTGCTGGCTCTCCATAAGCTGAGAAATTGTGAATTACATCCTGACTGTTGTGCATGTTGTGTTGTGTGTAGACTGTGGGCTGCCATAATCCTTGGGAGAATGTTGATGTTTCAGTTTCTGCAGGAAATCAACCTGTTTAGGTTGAGACTACAAGTTCTGTCTCTCCTGTGTGTGGTAGTTCCAAGCTGCGCTCAGTTCATACAGCTCTTTTACACTGGTTTGGGTCTTTCCACACACGTGTAGCTCAAGGTGAACATAAGACTTGAGTGGTTTCATGCTCAGAATTAGCAGATCCCTTCTCCAGATCACTCTGCTCTGGAATCCTTTCTAGCTCCACTGGGCTCCTTTCTGGTTCCTCTACCTAGAAAGATGGGGTTTCCAGGAAAGTTTTAACCACTGGCCCCGCTGTGCTGCTTTGTGTGGGCTCACCCTGGAGGCAAATTCATGGAAGACAGAAAATTGACCTCTGTGTATGTGCTGCTCCAAGTTTTTCTCTGGTCCACACCCTGCCACCTTTCATTTACATCCAGAGTCTGGGTAATTGTATTTTGGATGTGTCCAGTTAATGTATTTATTTTTAAAGTCTCTGCAGGCTAGCTCCAAAATCTGGGTCTATTCTGGTCTGTTTCTATGTACTGAGTTCTCTAAACTGTGGGTCAACTTTTAACATTTGCTCATACTGCTAGCAGTTTTTCATCATACGCTGAATATCTGGGATCTGTTCCAGGAAAGGCCATGGATGGATCTCAGTTCTTTCAAGAGTCAAATCTCTTCCAGTTCCTGCCAGAGTTTTGATTGCTTGTCAGTGTCTTCAAACAGCTGTTTTCTAACACCCCAGTTTCTAAGTCTTCAGTAGCTTTAGTATGATGCAAGCTACCCCATGACCACCAGAAACAGTATTGTCTTTCTGGACTTAAGAAAGCTTCCTTCCTATTTTTCATCTCCCCTTGGAATTTGGCAAACAGTGTTTGAACTTTTCTGTAGAAACTACCATGAGATATTGCTCATTGCCCTCTCACTCCCTCATCCACACAAGGAAAACAGAGACAGAGGACGGCACAGCACAGCCAAGGGCCGGTGGCAGTGCTGTTCCCAAGCTGTAGACAGTTCTTTCTCCTCCACTGTGCCATCTCACTACAGCTCATGACCATTGAACACTGATCATCTGCTGATGTAGACTTACTATGTGCCCTGGCTGTGTCCTCAGAGTATCTTAACACAGAAATCCACAACATGACATCCATAACATCCAGAACATCTTAACACAGAAATCCATAACACGAGGCAGGCATCCCCAAATGCTAGGAGAGAGAACTTGAAAAACCGCTGTGGTGAAACAGAGAAGAAACCAACTCCTGCTGGAAAGGCTAACAGGAATTTCACAGAGAAGGGAAGACAGAGAGTGGACCCTCACTGCTCATGCAGGCAGAGGTATTTACATGTCTGCCTCCTTTTGCTTCAGCTGTGTCATGGGAGTGCAGGTGTTGGTGTCTGTTAACGTAACAAGCCTTCCACATAAAGTGTGGCCTGCAGATGAGCTGCACTGGCGCCATCAGACTGTGTCAGCAAGGCAGGACCGCAGGACCCACCCCAGGTACACTGATGAAAACAAGCATCTCAGCAAGCTCCCCGGGTGTTCCATGTGCATGTGAAAGTGTGAAGGACACTAACAGGAAGCACTGCTGCATCTTTCACAAGAACGATGACTGTGAGACCTCAGTTCTCTCTGCCCAGGCATTCATACATGCAGTAGAGGGAAAGGGGCACAGGAAGAACCACAGGTAACATGGACCGGGCATCTGCCACCGTGCACTTTATGTGTGTTCTGCCACCTTAGTCATCAGCCTTTGAGTTAGTTGTTTCCATTCTGAAGATAAGGAAGTTGAAAGGCAAAGAGGTTAAATTAGTGGCCTAAGATTACAAGAAAAGTGGCAGAACCTGAATTTGGCTGATGCCAAGCCTGTGCCATGCTTTCCACTGCACTGTACTGCCTATCCCTGGTCTGGGACTCAGGAGAGGCAGGTACTGTTGTGGTTATGCCACTAACTAGTTCAGTGACCTTGGCTAATTCATTCTATCTTTCTAGAACGCAGATCTTCATGTATCAGTTGACGGAAATGGAACTGCTGATAGTTCACAAATGAAGGAATCACATTGCTTCAGGAAAACGGGTGGTGGAAGCGGCCTTCAGACTGAGTGTAGGAGCCCCTGCTGTGTGACAGAAAAAGGATTAGGAAACCAGGGGAGAAGCAAAGTGTGGGGCAAAGAGCTCAGGACAGATGTGAGGACACCTGGGTTCTAGTCCTGCCTCTGCCATTTGATAGCTGTGGGCCTCAGGTGCTTCACCTATAAAATGGAGAAAAATGATCTTTCTGGCTATCTCTCATATGTTTGAATGGTTCAAGTGAGATTATGTATGAAAATATTTTCACAGATGTCATGAAGTGATCTATTAACACAGCCATTTCTCTGTCTGCCTTCATTTTCACAGCATGATTTAGGTATTTCTAAACTAACTAACCAAGGAGCGTGACTGTGATCTGCATGCCGTGGTAGCAACGGAGCACTAGCTCTGGCCAAGCCCATCCCCTCTGCACATTTGCCTGCTCCCACACTGGGAATAACACGTGATAAAACTGGTGTATGCTCTGCCCCTGTGAGAGAGCCAGTGATGTCAGAGAAGCAGAGGTCATGGCTCCAGAGCAGGGAGTCCCTGTGAAACCACCTGTGGTGATGGACATGCTGCCCACCTGTGCTAGTCACTTCGGTGGCTACTGAGCACTTGACTTGTGGCTATAAAACTGAGAAACTGAACTCGAAATTTCATTTAACTTTAAATAGCCACGACTACAGCTACAATGGAGCAGCACAGCCCACAATACAACTGAGCCATGGATCTGGTCAGCAATCTTAAGGTTTCATAGCTGTCCTCTTAAGGCCAACACATAAGCCAACTTTGTGATTGCAGTTCTGAAACTCTAGCCTCGAATGCTTTTTCCCCCAATCAAACAAAATTTTCATGGCATGATTTTTTTTTTTTTTTTTTTTTTT